TTTAAATATGATACAATCATGTTACCATATTATTCATCAATAATTTAGACTTTGTTGGTAACATTCGAAAACTATCACACAAGAACAAGTTTCTAGTCATAACCAACACTACATAATTTGAATTGGATGAAATTGTGTAAATTTTCCATTTTCTTTTCAAAATTAACAATCTTAACATGCATATTTGCTGGTAATATATATTTAGTATATGTCATATCCATTATATACTTATATAATTGCTTATTATAAATTATAACTATACTCATAACTCAGCCGTAACTTGAACACATTAACTTAGCCGTCACATAATTATAAGTCAGCCATACCCCATTTCTCATTTAACATGAAAACAAATCTTAAACAACACAAATTACAACATAATCAGTCTAAACATCATGAAACAACAATTATATTCTCTCCCATAGCCATACAATTGCGATTCCTATTACATAGAGTAGAAAAATTGTCTTCAAAGCTGTCTTACCCATATCATCCTCAATCTTCTACATCAATTTTTCTTCAAGCTTCTTACTCAGTTCTTCCTCAAGCTTGTCAAACATTTCTTTTTGGAGATCTAAATTTTGAGTATGTTGATGCCTTAAGTCCGTCACATCTTCTTCTATTCTCTGTACCTTTGCGTCGACCATCTTAATTTCTTCAACCGATGCCTCATCAACCCATTTGAAGAAATGCGACTCATTCGGCCTCTAATTAACAAAAAACCAACATCGATACCCATATGTTAACAATAAAAATTTAAATGAAATTTAGTACCTTCAAAGCAATCGAGCATCGATAGAAGATACGGTAAGGGTTTTCCTTTGTCTTCGATATGTATGTGATGATATCATTACCACACCAACATCCGCAATTCGTCGGAAGATCTGGAGGGTAAGCACCATGTGCTGAACGATATGTACTCGAAGAGTAGTCGCTCATATTAAAATTGAGAAGTAGAATTCTTTAATCGAAGATAAACCAAGAAATCGGATGGGAATCCCAGAAATCGATAAGAACCCTAAATCCCCAATCTGATAGCTCGATTATGACTATAAGGGAGAAGAAAAAAGTAAACGACGTCGTCTGGAATTAACTCGGCCAAACCACGAATTTAATTTACAATAAGTCAACCAAACCTCATTATATAACTCAGTCGTAACGTTATGTTATACCTCAGACAGAACGTAACTATAACTCAGCCATACTCCGAATTTGAATATCAAAATCATAAATCAGCCATATCTAACGTATAGATGTTGAAAGAACACACGAAAAGCTTGTGAAGTTGGTTCTCGATGACTACAGATTGAATGAGTTGAGCCATCATGTAACAATGAGCTACATGTTATCGTTACAATAATTCAGCCAAACCTCGAAGTGGTCTCTGTAAGTCAACCATGACGCTGACATAACTCAGCCAAACCACAAATTTATTTACGTTAAGTCAGCTATGTCGTTGGCATAACTCGGCCAAACCTCGAATTATTCAACAATAAGTCAACCATGTCGTTGGCATAACTCGGCCAAACCTCAAATATGATAAATGTGAATATTTGATGCACTCATGTAATAAAAACACTTTAATAATATGTAGTTAACACTTTTATTAACTTTCCATAAAAAAATCATGAAATTCGCTCAGGTTTGTACTTTTTAAAACTTATCCAACAAAACGATAA